TCAATAAAACAGAAGGAATAGGATTAAATCATGTTCTTTATACCATTGTAGTCTGAAACTGATGCAGCATTTTCTTAGAATTTCATGTTAATGGTAAGAGTTCTACCCCTGCTGATTGGACCAGTTTTATAATGTGTCTGACCCTGACGTGGCACAGAAAACTTACACTGAACAGGTTTAACAATGATTCAACTCTGCCTTGCCAGTGTTAGAGCACACAGAGATATTAAATAATTCAGAAATACCTCTGTAATAAACAGTGAGGCAGATTTCACATCTGCTCAGCCAAATCCAAGGAAAACCCCATCTGATTCTGAATATTTGGGGTTTCTGGACTTGGTTGCAATTGTGGATCTGTTAGGAACACAAAAATGCCTCAAATCAGTCTGTTTTCTGCAAGTTTCTCGTGTGGACAAACTAATTCCCATTACCAGGTAAATCTCAAGTCTCATCAGAGCTACTGAAGTGAACGAGAGGCTTAACTGAACTTAGGTTTTGGTGAAGTAACTTTCTACTCACAGGTATTCTGCCAGATCAAAGGATTTAAATTTGTCCCATTAAGATCACATTCTTCTCAAAAAGTGCAAAGTTACCTTTCAAAATAATGCTTTCTCTTCACACAGTTATTGCCTGTAAGCAAAAAAGGATATAAATTAACAGCACGCTTTCATCCTATACACTCAAGTGCATCTGTATTTGTTATTTGGGTTGCACACACTTGTATAAATAATGCTTAACTCAGTAATAACTAGATTAAAAAAATGTTCATAAGGCAAAATAAAACCTGAAACCCCCTATTTGATAGCATAAATCATCAGAATCTTTCTGGAACTTAGGGAATTAATAGCCAAGAAACATTAAATAAGAAGTCTCTTATTAACTAGATCACAATTAGATATTTCTATTAGAAATTCGTATGGATTTGATTAATCTGAGACCTATGTGCTTTGATTACTATAATCCTGAAATTTGCTGATAAATTCCTTGCTGACAAAGAATCCTTGTATTTTTGTTTACCTAGCAACATACTATATAATTTTCTCATTTTTTCATAGAAATTTATGTTTTAAAATATGTTTTCTATTTTTGCCTTCTCCTATAAGAACATTGTTAATTATTCCTATTCTTGCATCCCTCCAGTCACAATCCTGTGAAATATTTATGGTGCAGAGGTGATACAAAAGGGGTAGTGGCAAATCTTCAGCTGGGAGGAAGTTTTACAGGGCTGTGAAAGGGATGTGGGACAAAATGGAATAGGAGTGGTGAATGTGTGTTCCTTAGAGGCTCTTTGAAATTCTGGGGTGTGTTTCAGAGCACCCTGTAAAATGTCAGACTTCAAACGGTGCAAATTACCATAGGTCCAGCGAAGTATCATGGAGGTTACAGCATCATGGTTTTAATCCTGGTACTTTCTAGTCTGGCATGCTGCTGTAGCCCCATACAATTCTTCATCTACAATTTAACACTTTAAAGTGACTTTTCCCCCCCTGTATTTTGACTGACAAAAACCAACTTCATTGATTTATCCTCTTTTGTATGGAATTTTCCCCTTTTCTGCTGTGTAGATAAAAATGTTTGTTTATTCTATGAAGCAACAGTGGGCTGTTACCTCATTTTTCTTTCTGCATTCTTTTTGAACTGTGAGCAGACATGTCCACTTTCATGCCCACTCTGACTGAGTATCTTGCTTGCTAATGATCTGTGACAAGTTACAGTAATAATTTCCTCTGATATCAGATTGACTTTGGACCTGAATGACACTTCCTTAGCAACAGTTCCAATTACCAGGGCATCCCTAATTGTTTCTTCTGTTCTTGCCCACATTTCACAACACTTAGCCAGTTGTCAGAACATCTTAAAGAAAACCTTTATTGCTCATTCCCTTTCCAGCTACATGATCTCACGTCTCTGTTTGCACAGCTGAACATGATCAATGGGATCACCTACACCTGGTCTGTCTGTCTGCCACTGTCCCTGTTACCTTTGCAAGCTACAACAAACTGCAAACCCAAATAAAACTTTCAGAAACTATTATACATCAGCTAAGACTGAGGTTTTGCTGCTAAGGAAGTTTTTCTTTTCTTTTAGGGACTGAGGGAATCATTAGTGCAAGAAGTTTAATGGCTTTCAGAATTTATTTTTTTTTTTTTTGCCACTCTTTTGTTTATCATAACCCTTCACTGATATCTGATGTTTAAATTGAGCCTACAGACCTAGTCAATCTGTAGTTCCAAATAGATGTGTTAGCCTCAGGGGCTGAGTCGATACAAAACCAGAAAAGCATTCCTTGGAGGAGATATTCATTCTGGTAAGAAATGTTTTAGATGTGACTATCTCCTTCTAGGAAAAGCTAGAGGGATAATCAATTCTTACTAGAAGAAAAAATCCTCGGAGTGCACCGTGCAGACAGAAATCCCATCAGCTGGTGCAGCTGCACTGTAGATGGAAATTGTCATTAATGGCAAGACATGAAATGTCTGTCAGAGCTGTGGGAGGACAAATGCCCTGGGCACACACGAGGAGCCTCTCAGCTAAACAAAACAGCTTTAACCAGGCATTCACGTGTTTGCAAGCAGGACACCACTGCAGCAGCATCCAACTCTGCAAACAGCTGCATTCCCCTCTGCTAGCTCCTCAAGCAAGTGCCCTGTGAGCTCAAACCAACATTCATGACATGACCTGGGTAACCATTAATGCCATTTGCCCTAATCTAGAGCATTTCCTCCAATTTTCTCCTTTGCACAACTTCTACATACAATTGGAATTACTCAGTGTAAACAGCTACCAGCCTCCCAGATGAGAGGCAGTGTTCCTGATACCTCTGTTTCAGTAGGAGCTAGTCATTATAAACTTTGAGCTTTGCTGCTGAGGAGTTGAATGTTGTGTTCCGTGTCTGGCCACACAGGTCTGTGGCCCATTAGTAGCAATAATATTGAATAAATAAAGCCTGTGTGGCATGAATTACTCAGCCACTTCAGATTAAATTGTGGACAGCGTGAGAATTTGACAATAGGAATGTCAAGCCTTCAAAATTTCTTTCTCATTTTCTTCACAATGTCTAGAATACTTCACTCAAATTTTATTCGGGCTACGCCTTAAGAAGAATTTAGGCATTGAAGTAAAAAATGAAACAGAAATGACTATTTGCTATCCAACACCATAGGTGCCTTGGGTTTCCACATGCTGTGCTGGTGTTGATAACACAAAGTTCTTGAGCATTCTGAGAAATTGGCAGCTAAGGCCAATTGGATGGTTTAAAAATATGCAGAAATTTGTAGCAACGGGTCACTTTAACAAAACTTTTGCTTGTACTTTGTGCTAAAGCCCATACTCCAATGCCATGTATTCCATACAAATATATGAAGAGATATAATGTTAACAAGATGTGTCTATTTGAAGAAATATTTAAATGCTAATTTCATATTTATTAAACTAAAAGATGCTTTTCATTTCTTTCTTTATATTTTATTCATGAGATCCCCTTTTGCTTTCTCAGTTTAAGTAAAGAACTGTGATTAACTGTAAACTGATTGCTTAAAGTAATTAATCATTTTCCATTACAAAATTTCCTGGGTAAATGAAGGGTCTTATAATTGAAGGGTTTTCTCTTGTGTAAATGGAATACACAGAGAGCCTTGACTGAGAAATAGATGTATTACCCAGACACCTACAGGCATTTCTTTATTATTCTTTTACTAGAATAAATATCTGTCTGGCTGGAGTGCAAAAAAAAAACATTGTTTTTAACAAATAGAAATATATTGATATCTTCTTAATAGAAATAATTTTCTAAAAAATAAAATGTTTAGCTATTTTTTTAAATTATTCTACTAACAAGATTACTTTTGTGGTCAGAGTTTCCATTCAGCAGATGTGAATGGAACATTAGGACAGTGTCCAGAAGGAGCAGGGAAGTGATTCTCCCCTGTGCATGGCACTGGTTTGGCTGCACCTGAAGTGCTGTGCCCAGCCCTGGGGCCCCTATTTAGGAAGGATGTTGAGATTTGGGATCATGTCCACAGAAGGACAGCAAGGCTGGACAGTGAGGAGGGGCTGGGGGAGCTGTGGGTGCTCAGCTGGAGAAGAGGAGGCTCAGGGGACACCTCGTCACACTCAAACTCTGAAAGGAGGATGCAGCCAGGTGGGGGCCACTTCTCCCAGGCAGTGACAGGATGAGAGGATGCAGACCCAAACTGCACCAGGGGAGGTTTAGGCTGGACATTAAGAAAAAATTCTGCATAGAAAGAGTGATGGGGCACTGAGACAGATGGCCCAGGGAGGTGGCAGAGTCACCATTGCTGGACGTGACACTCAGTGCCTTGCTGTGGTTGGCAAGGTGGTGTTAGCTCACAGGTTGAACTTGATGATCCCATATGTCTTTTCCAACCTAGCTGATTCTCTGATTCTTTAATCCAGTCCTTTATCTGCAAAGTTCCTTTATCCATGGAGTTTGCATACCAACTGAATACATAATGTAGTATTTTCTGTAGGAAGCATTATGCTTGAAAACAGCTTCATCAGAATTAAGGTCATTTCCAAGGCTAAGTAATAAAAGAGATGGATAAAGCTGTCAAATTAAAACAAGAACTAATTAAAACCCTTGTCATAACATCATTTGAATTTTATGAAATTATTAAACAATTTAGAAAATTAATTTCTGTTATTGTCTATGGCACTCCCTTGACCAGGCCTAAAAGCAGAAACAGCACATTACTGGGCAACTATAAACTCCCTTTCTTATGATGCTGAATATGACTAAGGATCAGAGAGATGTTACACAGTCACACTTGAGCAATTCACATCACAAAGACTTCAGCAAGGCCAGGATTTCTCTGGCAGTCCATGTGTGGTCAAGATTTTTAGGCTGTGGAGCACCAAACCCAGCAGAGAAAATCAAGCTAGGATTACACAAATTAACATAACTGCAGCATATCACAACAAGCTTCCTGCTAGATCCTGTTCCTGCTCTCAGAATAGCTAATTAAGTTAGACAAAATGTAATGTTTATGAACTTATGCAGCTCCTTCAACTTGAGAAAGATTGAGAAGTATTTCCTACAGTAACAAAAGTGGCAAAAATAGCTGCAACTGCTACAGCTTGCTTCCTTCAGAGAAAAGAGAAAGTAAGTATACAAAACCACACAGCAATTCATCTGAATTTTCTGTTCTTCCTGTCAGCAGCTTTATTTCTTTAGGTAAAATATTGAAAGATTTATTACAGATCTAATTTCTATTACTTGGAGTGTGAATTGCATTCCTATGAATATACCAGGTTTGGGCATATTTGTTCCAGTTCCCAAACTATAAATCAGTTATAGCTTACCTCAGTTTTACAGGAATTTTGAGTTTTAAATATTGGCAAATTTCTCAGCTGGAGACACAGAAGAATATGGGTGTATATAGACAGATTACTTGAAAATGCATAAATGTAAAGAAGAAAAAAACCCAAACTGTTACTTAAATAGTATAAAGGAAAAACATTTACTACTCTTTTTTTTTCCTCTTGATCATTCTTATGATGAAAGACTGAAAAATGTTCACTATTAAAGGAAAAACTGTTGAAAATTTATACACCAGAGAAAAGGCCAGTCAAGATACTGTAATATAGGCTCAGAATTTTAACAGCCATTCTTTTGTTCTGTTTGCATAATATAGATTTTCACAACTTAAATGGAGAACTAGCTGCAGGAGGTTACCCTTTGAGTTTACATTATGCTGAAATACTGTTTGATTCTTTGAGACTTAAGTCTTTGTTCATACTATAAGCGTCAAAACAACTTTATTAAGTGCACAGCATTATACAAGGCTGCATGCCAAAACTTGTAAAATGTCAATGCCATGTATTTCTTGGAAGCTTATAATTAATTCATCATCAGAATAGCTTTGGGGCCTTATTCTGATCCATTTTCTAAACAGTGTTACCAGCAAATTATGTTCTGTGCTTCTGTTTATTTAAAGAATATCACTGCTGAATTTACAACAAGCAAACTAGTTAATAGAAAGCCTTTGGGGGATGTAGTAAATTAAAAATGAAAACATACTCAAAGGAATATAGAATTTATGACCAGAAAAATATCACAAAAAAAAAGTGTACATTGCTAGGTTTATATAAATCAGACACAGATTCTGTAAATACTTTGAGCATAATAAATAAATGATCGCTGAACTCAAAGACTAGTAGTTTGTGTCCCCATATCCTGCCTGACTTCTCCATTCTGCTGTAATAGAAGGGAGAGGATTTTGTTTGTTACTGCCATGAAGTGATATGAAAAGTCAGAAAAATATTTACCTTCAGTTACTGAAAAAGGACCTGGCCCAAACACACTGAAAGTGATAATAATCTTTCCAAATATCTCAAGGGCTTTGAATTCAGAGATATTATTTTTTAGTGTAGATTTACTCAGAACTTCTTGATGGCAAATTTCAGCAGTGTTGCTTTCATTTATATCTGGGAAAGATATGGTTCCAAAGTGAACTCAGCATTGAGAGGAAAATGTACATAAATAAAAAGAGCTCAGTAGAATTGCAGCAAATATGAGTCCTTGTCTTTTAATAACAGTAGAAAGGTTATTTTAGCAGTCTTCCTTAAATAATAAAATTATAAAATCTAGATATTATCTTTGTCTTCCAGTAGTAAAATTTATATTTGAAAAGAAACAATATTATAAGCGAAAGAACATAAGAAACTAGGGGAGAAAATGCAGTTTTCTCTGTAATGTATCCTTGTAGAAAATCTTATTCTACTCACGAGCTTACAAGCCGCCCTGCTCCTAGCATTTCAATTAGGACTAGCAGCTTCCTTGCACTTCCACAGTACTCTTGAAATACTTGAGTGGCTCCAGTCAGGATCCAGCCCAGCAGAGTGGCCAGCTGGAGGACAGGCAGTGCTTCAAAGGCACGCTGCATTAAAGCCCATAACTGCTCCGAGCAGCGGAGACAGCAGGGCAGCAGCAGCTCTCCAGCTGCACACTCTGTCCTGTTTGGATGTCCCCCTCCTGCATTGTCCCCGTGCCTCTGAAGCGTGCTTCCCACAATTTTCCCCTCCTCTCTTCCACTGTCTTGTGGCTTCAAGTGCACAGTGTGCTTCCCATTCTCTGCTGGCTCTGCTGAACTTAAGAAGCAACAAAAGAAAACCCTGTCGAGACTAAGGCAAATTGAAAGGATGTCAGTAGTCACTTGGATCTTCTCACTCCTCCTTGGCTGGAAAAAAAAAAAAAAGGAATGATCTGTGAAGCTCACTCAGATGACAGCCAGCAAGCAGTGGAATCTAAATTTGACACCCTCTTATTAGCACTAAACCCTCTGAAGGAAAAGATTAAAGGAAGCAGGGGATGGGAAGCTGACTTTGCACGAGTACAATGGGGCAGTGAGTGCAAGTGAGCAGCTCCTAGAGGAGGAAGGTGATGTTTGAAACATAACGGCTCCAAACTTTTCACCCCAAAATTCCTGTTCCCGTGCACCCCAAAAAACATCAGCGCGATTTTGCTAAACCACTTTCATTATATTTCAGATCAAATGTTTCCATCTTCTCAGCATCGTTTTGTTCAGCTAATTCTTAGCTGCAGCCAGAAGGAAAAGTGTAAATTTAAGACAGCTGCTCCTAAAATCACAAAAAATTCCATTTAACAGGATGATTCAGAACTTTTGTAACAAATCAACATATCAAATTGGTATTTTAAAAAATAAAACTTTTTTTTAATTAGGAAAATTGCAGCCAGTTCTAAAGGGAGAAGTTTAAAATAGATTTTCTCTAAGGTTTCTTCCAATCCAAGACATTATACAAGCCTATGAAAATACTATTCTTGGTATGATCCACAGGCAAAATTGTGCCTTGTTTCTCACAGCTTCTCCTTGGAGTGTCTTAGGCTTCTGATAGTTCCTTTCTCTGAGATGCATTTGGTCCACACATGCAGGGCACTGATAAATGCAGACAATTTTTCTGGTTAAGGAAAAATTTTTTGACAGTTGCTGACTTCAGGGCAATGCTGATGTCTGATTTATGACATCTATCATTTTGTTTTATTTGGACAATTCTCATCGCTGAGGGATTTTTTTTCCCTTTTACTGTACCTCCATGTTTGACCTCCCAGTCACGTTGTGCTATCTTGGATGATCTTCTGGCAGGCCATCAAAAATTAGCCATTTCTCACCAAACTGGCAAAATCCCTAACAAAAGCCCAAGTAGTTCCTCTTGAACACTATTATTTCCAGGATACATTTCCAGGATACAAAGTACGGGAAGAGAAAAATTATTTACATCACCAAACCTTTCAGGGCCAAGGCTTGCAATGTTAAGCTAGCTTGATGCTACAGAACTTATGCTTGTGGGATGCTCCAAACACTTTGGACATGGAACTAAGTTTTCATGGAAAAGACCAAATTTACAACTGTATATTTTGGTTTATTCAGAAGATATCAATTGTTTTTCTCTCTCTTAAGCCATACATTGGATAAGTATTTGAAATAATGTCATAGCTCAGGCACCTGCTAGTGGTGAGATGAGGAAAGAGCTGGGCTAGGCTAAGGAGCCACATTAGAATATTAGAATGGTGCTTTCAGAACTGGGAATATAGAGGGCTCTTAAACTTCAATTAATTCCTGGGTGTGAAAAGTGTTACTGAAGATAATCCTCTTCCAGGCACCCTACAGTTAAGATGAAAGGTCACTGGGAGACTGATGCCCAGAGAATTCTCTGTCAACTTTTTAAAATTCCATGGGAATAGAACATTATCTGTAAAAAAAAAAAAAACAAAAACAAAAACAAATATCAGCCATAGGTAGTATTACATACCTAAGTGGAAAATGCTAGGCAGTTTTTCTCCAAGTAAATCAACGTTTCTAAATCTTATAATAGATTTGCTACTTTAATTTGGTATTCTTTGTTATGGGGATTCTGTGACCTTGTGACTTTATTTACTAAGTGGATAAACTAGAGGACTATAATCAGATTGAAGAGATATGTAATTCTTTAAACAAGAAACAGTACAATCTGACCACTCTAGTGCAGTTCATGTATCTTAAAATATATGTGGTTTTGGTTGCAGAATAACAGATTTCAAGGAAGGAACAGCACCAAGGAAAAGAAGGAAGACAATAAAGAAATTTTTGCCAGAAAATCCCTCTCATTATGTATGTGTAAGTGAAATAGCAGCAGAGCCAGATACTCTGTGAATGGATCAGATTCTAAATTGGAAAATGGTTGGAACATGTTAAATTCATAGGCACAGTGTAACATCCAGCTAGTCTGTCCATGCTACTCAACAGTATAGGAACTTTCAAGATTGTGAGCTGTGGTTCCAAATCCATCCTTAGAGCTGGCCATAAAAAATCCTAACTTAGCAACTGTATTTGAACTATTGGTGTATTGTACGTGGTTTAACCATAAAATGAGGAATTTTAGGTTTTCTGCTCCTGAAAGGGTTGATTTCAGCAGGGGCCCCTTATCAGTGGTCTTTCTAGAACACCAAAAGCCTGTGCTATCATATATACATTTCTTTTTACAAAGATTGTCCTTCCTGCAGCCACTTCTGGTTCTACCTGAGGGCTGCCTGAGGAATAAAGATTCTATACCAGCATTAAACTGTGCATGCTTTACCTAGTAAAAACTTTTTAAGTTATTGTTATAGATTGCAAAATCTTCTACTATAACCTTAAGTGTATTATGCCCGAAAGGCTATTTCACTCCTGAAGCAATCAGCTGAAGCTACCAAATAAAATCTGGTTTGTGATTTAAGTGGAAAATTAATACATTTAATTTATTTTGGAAGAAGATGTTTCCTAGATTCATTTTATTTCCATAGTGATGTTGAGAACACAATGCCATTCTATCCATCATCAGCTATTGGATCCAACTGAATCTAATGAAAAAAAAAAAAAAAAAAAAAAAAAAAAAAAAAAAAAAAAAAAAAAAAAAAAAAAAAAAAAAAAGAAAGAAAGAAAAGACAACAGTGAGATGGAAGAAGAAAACAACAAGAAAAAAAACACCTTTGAGGTATTCCTTCCCCAGAGTTTTACTGGTCTGTTTCCCCTTGATGGTTCTGAAGGCACAGGTCTCTCACCCTGCATAAAGCCTGCCCAAGATGCTAAGGTGGGATAACAGAGGGGCTTTTACTGTGCTGCTAAATCTGTTCCATGCTGCAGGGAAATGTGCGAGTGCACCGTTAATTTTAAGCAAGGCAGAAAATTCATCTAAGCCTTGCCATCTTAAAAGAGTGTATTTTAGGAAATAACAGCCTTGTAGAGAATTGCTATAAATTTGCCCTAATATTTTCCAGATCTTCAAGAAAAGCTCTGTGCAGCTCTGATGGGAAAACTGCTGTGTCCATTTCCTCTGCACTCCAGAATAAGCACCAGGGAGCTGAAGAGCTCTCAGAAGCATCCTTCAACAGTGAGCTGAACTCTGAAAGTCATCTTTGTCAAGCTAAAAGGACTTTTTTCTGTAAATCCCTATTTAGGAAGATCTTTCGATCTAGCAAAGTAGAGCATGAGCTAACAGAACCATGTGGCATCAAAGAAAATGCAATCTAAAACTGGAATCAGACTTCTACTTTTAGATAATTCTAACTTGAATTCAATGAATTCTAAGATAAGAATAGCAAAATTCCATTGTATGGAATAATTCATCAAAAAATGTGAAGTTTAACACTTTGGGCATTTAATTCAGCCCGTTTGTTCCTTTAGTTCTTGTGTTTAAAATAAAGCTATTTTAGCATGTGTCAAAATTACTTTTAGGCATCCAGCAGTGCACCACACAGAAAAACCATAAGACCAAAAAATATTGTGGGATGTTTATACTCAATAGCAAGTTCTGATAGAGGAATCAATAACAGTATATTTGTTGAATATAAAGTTCCCCCATTCATTTAAGTTCTTATTCATAAGCACAGAATTGGGACTCAAAAGTTGGGAAAATGAGCCGGGAAGTTCTTAAGTCTGTTTATAAAACAGAACAGAAAGGGGAAGATTTGAAAGCATCTTTTGCTGTGAAATCCTCAATCCTTAAATTTAAGGATTTTTTATGAATCTTTTATTTTTCAAGTTTAAAACTTTGCTCAGTATGGGAATTTTTTATAAGGAACAGGGACATATATGAAAAATGTATTGGAAGTAGGTCCTAAATATAAGCTACTTACACTTTTGATCTCTTTCTAGAAGAAACTGAAATTTATATTATTATCTTTAAACCTAGTCCATAACTAAATTTATTAATAGGGAATATTTTACCAGGGTGTTTTGAGACTTTGGCTCAGTATTCTATACAACTACATTGCACATTGGGTTTGTCAACAACAGGATGCCCTTTCAATGGTAAAAAAAATCATATAGTAAGATTTGTCTTCCAAAATTGATATGAGTGTATTGATAGACATAAAAATTACTGTAATTACAGAAAAATAGCAGAGCAGAGTAAGGGAAAATAAATGGTAATTATGTATTACTAAAAACTAAAAATATAAATCTTGAAAGACATTATTTAAATTTAGAAGTGGCTTTTGGTGGCCAACAGTTTTAGGTAAAATCAGCTGCTAATATTTTTGAAAGACAATTTATATTTTAAATCCACAGTAAACTATTCCTTTGATTGAGTAAATATTATAAATGATTGTAAGGGACTTTTGGATTCTGTGAGGTGTAAAGTAATATAAAAAACCAAAAATATTATTTCATGTCCTCAAATATAGTAAAATTCTGCAAACTAAAGTTTTGTCCACAAACAAATAATATAGGAGCTAAAAATAAAATTGATATTTTCCTTTAGTCATATACAGCACTTTCAGTCAACTGCAACTAAAAACACTGAGCTTTTAAAAAGTAAACAATTTCTTTACTTTCTGTAAGTAGATGCTTTTTCTTCCTGTGCTATATATATCACTTTTTGCCTACATATACTGTTACTTTTTGATAAATCTTCAGTTTTCAGATTGCATACCTCATATAATGTTAACAAAACTGTACTTTTAGAAAGCATCTTGAACTTTAGCCTGTGAATAAAAATGAATTGTCTCCTGAAAACACTTTTTGTTGCAGATACCCATTTTTGATGTTATCAATTTATATGATAGACATGCTGCAATGAAAAGGAAAGACAATTTAGTGTGGGTTTCTTAGGTATCAGTTAAAGTTTATGCAGGCCTGTCAGAAAAACTACACAGGATTTCCTACACCAAGGTAATCCCACTGGATTGATCAGAAACTGTCAGTGAGAAATCAGATATATTAATTTTTAACCTCTAGCTGTAATTACCAATATTTTGTAGTGGTGATACTAGTACGTGTACTAGTAGCAACCCAAAATTTTTCTTTGGCTCAAGTCAGAATTCTAAAAATGGCAGCAAATAATAAATCATTAAAATTGCAATAGCAAAGACTAGATATTATTGAAACATTCTGAAGATGCTTCTTGGTCCTAAATTGTGTACAATCTATTTTGAGCTGTCAAAAAAATGTATTTGTTTTCACCACAGTTCACAGTTATGTGAATCCCAGGAATGAGAACAAATTTTCTTTGCTGAGCATGCAAATTTTAGATGAATGAAGGCTACTTAACATGTTAAGTAATTTTTCACTCCAGCATACAAGCCTTTATTAACCAAAAGCCTGGGGGCTTCACACTCTCACAAGAAAAGATGTGAAATACAAAACCAAACATTATCAGTTATGGGATAAGTAAATGCACAATATCCAGAGGCTAATGTCAGCTTTCAGACTGAAGGAAATTTATACGGAAGATTGAACAGTAACTTGTTAATTTTGTTGTTTTGGGTTTTTTTCCTAACATTCAAATACATAAAGCAGTTGTCAAGTATTGTTTCATAAACCCAGCTCGTTAAAACCTTCAGGCTCGTAATCTTAATTTGCTAATTACCTGCAGTGGAATTGTCAGCAGTATAAGATGTGTAGCATCCTATACTAGTCTATGCATATTGCTCCTGTTCCAAGTTGGGTGGGAATTTGTCTCCAGTCCTGGAAAAGGCTAAGCAGGGATGCTGTGCTGCTGTTCCAGTGAGCCTTGCTGAGGCAGAGATGAGAGCCATGTGCTGATGGAAGGCAAACCCAGGGCTGATTTATTAAAAAATATGGATATTGATCTAGTACCGATATCCAACTGTGACAGACAAAAACTCTCTAACAGTTTAAAGTTACAAAGTGTGTGTTTATTGTGTGTGGGATCGCTCCCAAATCCACACCGCAGCTTCCAGGTGATTACAGAACCCTTTTAGCCATCCAAGTACTGAATACCCAAAATACAAATACAAATTCAGCATTTTGGTACATCCCATTCCCCGCTTCCTATGCCAATCACTCCCAAAGCCATTCAGCATGCGTGCTTTGTCCCTTGAAATGGGTCGGTGTCCCTTTCATGGGGAGGGGTCCCAAAATGAGGAAGTCAATGAAGTCTTCCTCCTTCTGGCCTTTCTACCTTTTCAATGCAAATATGACAAATGAACTCTTGGTAGAACTCCCATTCCTTGTCTTCAGTTGGTTTCAGAACAGAGGAGGCCCACAATTGTCTGATGTTCCTAAAAGCTATTTGTCAATTTATATTCTTCATTATAAACCCAGCTAATTAAACATTGTGCTGACAAGCAATCAATTACTAGTTAACGACTAACTCTTAACTTCATCAAGGCCTACTCATTTATTTTAATTAATTCTAGTAAGGCTTATCTCTAACTAAAATCTTAGCTCTTCTAAAATCTCTAAATTCCCCAAATTTTACATTTCAGGGCAAAGATCTGCTCTGGGGGAAATCTGTTCCCCTCAGGAGGGCTGGGTCACTTTGGTAAGGATGGGGAATTGACTGACAGTCACTGAACTACACACCCAGTTTCAATATCAGGTATGAAAAGGATACACCACAATAGCAGATGCAAAAAAAAAAAAAAAAAATTTAAACAATAAACTGCTAAAAATGTTTAAACCCACTTCTATAATACCACAGTATTGCAGTAAAGCACCCCTGGAGTTCCCCCATGGACCTCTGCACATACACAGGGTAAAACAGAAACAAGGGCTTGTTGCAGGAAATCCAATTAAACCAAAGAAGCAACAGAATTTCTGCCAGATCAAAGTATTATTCCACATATTTTATGAAAAAAAAAAATACATTGGAAATACTCTACCAGTGCTTTGCACCTTCAGGTTTTGATTTTTGTTATTTCAAAATTAGGAGTCTAAAGTTTAATTATCTTACAAAATCTCTCTAGCCACCCTTGAAACAGCAAGATCTGCTCTGCTGTATCTCAATTTACTTTAACTGGAGCATCTTTTCTAATTGTCTGACTACACATCAGTTTTTCTTAATGGAAGGAATCTGATTTTATTATATCAAATGAGATGAAATATTTTTTTGGAATCTATCCTCCGGGTATGTGGATTTAGAGCATGAGATGAAGGATCAATATTCTTTGTTTTCCTGATGCTTCAATTGAAACATAATGTATCAGCCACTAAAGATATTCCATTAAGTAAGTGCCCCAAGGTGAAGCATACAGATCAGATCTTTGGAGGCTTTTTTTTTACTCTTGGCAATAGAAACATAGTTTAATAAAGCTCATTTTAATTGATATATTTTCTCTTAATTATTCCTTCCAGTCATAGGACAGGCAATTTACCCTCAGATAGTGTCACACACTGGTATTAAAATAAATTATTTTACCCACTACGTAAATTAATTAGTAGCAGCAAAAGCTAGAGCCTATCTAGAGTAAATGGCATTAGGTGTAATTATGAGTAAACAAAGCTTGTCCCCAAATTCTTTGAGCCTATGTACAGTTGGATTACAGCAACTCTATTGGGCAGTAACCTATTTGCCTAGTAATTGTGACTCATACAAGTGCTATAACTACGCTGATTAATTTTC